AAAGCCTTCTGAGGAAATAATAAAAAGGAATGGGGAGAGAGGGTCTCCCTGTTTAACACCCCTTTTGGGTTGAAAATAACCTTGTGGGCTGCCATTAATGAGGATTGAGAAAAATGTGGCTTTAAGATTTGAAAGGACCAAAGAGATAAATCTCCCACAGAATCCAAACTTAGAAAGAACCTGACTGAGATAACTCCAGGAGAGTTTATCAAAAGCTTTGGCCATATCTAATTTAATAACAACATTAGAGCCCCTGACCTTCTTGTCTATTGCATGAACCATCTCTTGAGTAATGAGAATTTGATCAGAAATATCTCTGCCTTTAGCAAAACCAGCCTGCTCATCAGAAATAATCTTAGGCAATATTTTGATCAGCCTAGTTGCCATCACCTTGGTGCATATTTTATTAATGAAATTAGACAGGCAAATTGGTCTGAAATCTGAAAATGTAGATGGGATGTCATTCTTTGGAATAAAAACAATGAATGAAATGGTAAAACCTCTAGGAGGGGGAATTCCCATAAAGAATTCTTGAACTGCTTTGACCACATCCTCCCCAATAATACTCCAGCATTTTTTATAAAATTTTCCTGAGAAACCATCAGGACCAGGAGCCCCATTCTGATTCAAATCCCAAACAGCCTCCTTGATCTCCACTTCATTAGGTAAGGCTATAAGAAATTGATTATCCTCTTCTGTAATCAATTCTAGAATATGCTGCAGGATAGCATTGGATCTAACTTCAGGTTCCATAGAATAAAGATTGGAGAAGAAATCTACTGCAGCCTTTCCAATCTCAGGTATTGTACTGCATTCCCTCCCCTCTTAGTCAGTAATAGAACCAATAGTCTGTTTCCTTTTCTTTATTTTGACAAGAGAGTGGAAATAGTGTGAATTGCAATCCCCTTCTTTCAGCCATTGAATGTGAGCCTTCTGCTTCCAAAATTTCCTTTCTAATTTATACTTTGCCAAAAGTAAAGCCTTCTTATGGAACCAATCTTCCCTATTGGTCTCATTAGGGTGATCTTGAAACATTTTTTCAGCCTTGGTAACTTCCTCTTCACAGAATTTAATATCATCAAAAATGTCACCAAACACATCATTGTTCCGAGTTGTGAGACACTTTTTTAATCTTTGAAGTTTAATCACTAGCCCCTGCATACCACCTCCATAATAACCATCTTTCCAATTGTGAGAAATAGTGTTAAGGAAAGAGTGGTGAGTCAACCACATGTTTTGAAACTTGAAAGATCTAGGACCAGTTTGAAAGTTTCTGTTGCATTGAACAAGCATAGGGCAATGATCTGAAGGGGCCTGATTTAAGTTGCTAATTTTAATCTGATCAAAACAGTCCAGGAATTTTTCATTAAATAAGCATCTATCAAGTCTCCTCCAAAGTCTCCCGTTTGACCTTACCCCAGTCCAAAAAAATTGACAGCCTGAGTATGGTAAATCAATGAGCTTACATTGAGCAATACAATCTTTAAACTCCACCATACTAGTAACATTAGGAATAGCATCACCCAAATGTTCACCATTAGAAGCTATGGCATTAAAATCTCCTCCAACCAACCAAGGATCTTTAATATTAGATGCATAATGTTGTAAGCTAGACAAGAGTAATCTTCTTTCAATAAGATTATGTTTTCCTTAAATACAACATTTGTAATTTTAATGGGAGTGAACAAAACAAATGTAATTTTTAATGTAATTTATTACTCCTAAATAAATATGTACATACAATAATAAATTTAATACTACATCTAATGTTGCATGCTCGACCCTGGCATGTTCCCGCCACCAGTGTTCCAAAACCTCGTTGTGTCTTTATTTCTTCAATAGAATGTAATAAAAATAAGAAGTATAAAATAACTAAATAATTGTTAGTCATGCTCTCATAAAAAGTACTCCGTATAAAAATAATAGTTTATGTGTACGGTTTGTTGTTTATTGTCTGAATTTAATAATTACCAAATATGTAATAGGTTTTGAAAAAGTTACAAGATAAGGTATATTTCTATCATATAGTCTTTTGTTTCCATATCAACATGCAATCAAAAATAGAATCTAATAAAAATAGAAGGTATAAATATAGTTAAATAATTGTTATATATGATGGATGACATGGCAAGATTATGTGGCACGTTGTATGTTCTTAAAAAGTTCATCTTTAATATATATATATATATATATATATATATATATATATATATATATATATATATATATATTAATAAATAAACGGAGTAATAAATAAACAAATAAACGAACAAACAAACAAATAAATAAATGTAATAAAGAGTATTAAGACATTATTACTCGTAATATAAAAAAGAAGTTAACTGAATGGAAGCACCGTTACGGATGTTGCAATATAAAAAATAAAAAAGTCTCGGCCATCGGCTCTACCGAGGAGCGGCCTCGGGAGGCAGAATTGAGACTGGGAGTGGGGCGGGGCTTACTGAAGGCTAGCGGCTTTACTGCTTCTAGTTCAGACCGTTGGGACGGGCGCAATTGAGGCACATGACGGAGTGCTTGGGGACGGAGATTGAATCGGCGGCACTAGCGCAGGTATTCGATGGAAGATGTAGTTAACCAGTACAAAAACATGACAATTGGCAAGAATAAAGAGGATCGGAACTGAACTTCGATGATGACAAAGGAGGTGAAGATGTGGCGGGTGATGGTAAGGTGACTTTCATGATGCTCACTACCGGCGGATCAAATTTCATATCTTCAAGGAGCTTATGGCCTCTTTGTGGTGACCAGGCTAATAGAATTAATAATAGAGTTGTTTATGTACTTTACCCTAAACTCTTTTACTATAAATATACTCTGTATCTGTCAGGGCTCCTTTGAGAGCATCATGTTCCATTATTCTCACATGATTTCAAGAGCACAGTAAAAACCTAGTTTTTTCATTCATCTATTTCTCTCTACAAACCGCCGCTGCCGCACGACTTTCCCTACAGCTGTCGCCGCAGCTCGGTCATTACTAACGCCGCCGCACGATGACCTCTTCGACTCCCACCACTTCCACAACTTCCAGCACGGCATTCCCCTCTGTCGTCTCTAGCTCATCTGCCGCGGCTAGCTCCGCAGTGACAATCGGCGCTCCTCTTTCCTGTGGAACGCAGTCAGTCATCAGCTCTGTCGAGTCCGGCGTGACATTCTCTTCCAGCTTTGCATCACCCAGCCGGACCTCTATGCCTTATTCCCCTTTTCAGAATCTGCCACCGGTGTTTCCATGGCCGACTCCATCTTCGATGCAGCGGGTACGTCCCACTTGATCCGCCACCATTCACGACCAGATCCTTCTCCGGGCCCATGTTCGTCAGCTCACCTGGGATTTCCTCAACCCAACCGCCGATTCAAACCACACCGGCCAGCACCACCGAGTCTCCTCTGGCAAAACTGGCTCAGACAATTTCCCACATGGCTACCAACGTTACTAATATTGTTACTACCAAGCTTCTGGCTGTGGAAGATTACACTATGTGACAGACTCAATTTGAGTCGTTCCTTGTTTCGCAAGGTCTTCTCGACATGATTGATGGCTCCATTCAGGTACCTCCTTCTTATTCCAACCGCCAATTTCCCAATCCCGAATTTTCTACTTGGCCACGAATTAATCAAAACAGTCGTTCGTGGCTATTTGCAACTCTTTCTCGTGATGTTCTCATTGATGTTCGGGATTTAAAACATTCTTGTGAAGAATAGTTAGAATCTAGATTTATGTCTTCCAATTTAGCTAGATATATGGAATTAAAGCGTCTTTTGTCCCAAATTAAAAAAGAAACCTGATCAGTCTATGGATATTATCTAGAGGAGATTAAAATTCCCGTTGATTATCAGAAGACTACTATTATGGGTTCGGGCCAAAATCAATTTTTTTGTTTTTTCATTTTTTTTAATTCCAACGGGTTAAGCTGGGTGTTTGGGGGTTAATTAGAAAGGGCAAAAAATATATAAAGAGGCCCAAGGCCCGGCCCAAACCCGGTGGATACCTGGGCCGGTCCCGGGCCCAACCCCAAATCCCAGAAAGCCCACCAGGCCTAGGCCCGCCTCGGGCCCGCCCCGGCCCAAATCCACCCCTGTTTTGATGATTTTAAGATAATCAGTGTCCTCTCATGATCAATTACGAGTCAGAAACAGTACTTAGAAAGGGTTGGACCCTTAGTTGCACCATCCACTTTTTATCAATGTATATTTGTATGTTCTAGACTTCTATTATAGAGTAACGAGTCCTGTACTCCTGTGGATTGAAATTCATCATTTCTGTCCATAATGGTCAACCAAATGATACTACTCTAAGTGTTGTTTACAAAGAAGTGTAAGAATACTCCCTCCGTCCCATAAAATGTTTCCCGCTTTAACTTGGCATAGGGATGGACCCGGGCCGGGCCGGTTCCGGTTCCGGGCCGGGCCCGGGCGGGCTTTTTTTCGGGTTACATGGGCCCGGAACCGGCCCGGGTTAATACCGGGTCCGGGCCTAACCGGGCCGGGCCGGGCCGGGCCCGGTTCAATGTTTTTTTTTTTTTTTTTTTTTTTTGACTTTCTTGTTATCTCCCTACCCCCCCCCCCTCACCCCCACGCCCCAAACCTCCCTAAAACACCCAGCCCTACCCTAGGAAAAGAAAAAAAATTGAAAAAACCAAAAAAAAAAAAAAAAAATGAACCGGGCCCGGCCCGAACCGCCCGGGCCGGTTCAACAAAAACAGGGCCCGGAACCGGCCCGCCCGACCCGCCAAAACGGGCTAAAAGCCCGGAACCGGCCAACCGGGCCCGGTCCGGTTCGGGCCCGCACAGTAGCGGGCCGGTCCGGTTCCGGGCCGGTTCGGCCCGGCCCAGTCCATCCCTAACTTGGCACAGAGATTAAGAAAATGGAATAAAGTGGAAATGTAAGAAAAAGGTGAAATGAATGTGAACCACACAAATCGTCCATAAAAGGAAAGTGAGAAGAATTTTTTGGGACGTCCCTCATGTCACTCTTTAGATATTTAAATTCTACAATTCTAATGCATAAAATATACTTGTATGTGTTCATTGAAAGAAATACTTAACCCATAGATGCTTTTCTCGTGCCATGCACGAATCAAATACTAGTAGTTCTTAATGTACGACGTGTACAGCATACAACGCAGCTCCAATATGATAGATACATAAACACTTACAGCCTGATAGACTATCATTGTAAGTCCGGTTATTACTGGGTTACTCATGAGGTTAGGGTCTGCACTCTGCACAGACCATGTTATCTATCACGCACTTTGTGTGTGACAGAGAGTAAAGCTAAGCTGCGTGATAAAACAGTAAAATCAACTAAACCTATAAAAAACCAAGGCATACAATGGGATGTTATCTCATGAGATCTACCACCATTTTCATATCACTCTTCCTGCGCCGGCACCTATGATGAGCTTTTTGTACTGCATTCTTCTCTGCCTTAGATACTGCACATGCAAACATACAAGAGAGAGAGATTGGAAGGATTAAATTTAGTCACCCAGAGCTTCATAGTATTGCTTTGGTAACATGAAATGACAAGGAGATCAAATGCACTCCCTCTGTTCCTTATTAGCTATCCACTTTCCTTTTTGGGTTGTTCAAAATAACATGCCTCACTTGCCCTTTTGGAAATGGTAATATAAAAAAAAACTGCAACAGACCAACGGTGCACCTCCAAAAAGTGTTCAGTACCTAAAGAGCAAAATGAACCCCTAAAAAGACACTTGTTTCCAACCCCTACAAACATTATCCTAACCTAGATGAAACCCTACCAGGAGAACTAATTAGGAACAGAGGATGGAGTATAAGAAAATGAGTTTGAACCAAAACCATGTGCTAAAAGTATTTCCGGACCTAGTGATCAACAAAAAACATGGTTTCCATCTGCCAAAGGTTAAGACACTGAATGTGTAAAGCATACCTTAAGCATCACTAAAGTAGGTGGATAGCTTAGTCTTTCTCCCAAACCAGTTTTTTAAGTCAAGTTCAACGAGTTTCCCAAATCAGCTTGTTAAGATCGCGAGTTAGATCGTAGGATCGAACGATCTTATGACTCGGAAGAGTCTGGGCGATCTGGATCGTAGGTCAGATCGGATATTAAGGTCGGGTCGAGTAGGTCAACAGATTGACATTGGGATTGTAAAATCACAGGATCGTCGCATGATAGGCTCATAAAGTTCCTATCTTTTCATCGATATTTTGGGTGTTATCGTCTAATTTTTACAATTAATCGGATGACTATTGGGGGTTTTGAGTGAAAAAATGTTATTTTTCGGTCCTGGTGGCATTCATTTTCAGTGTAGTATTTTTCTACATAATTTGACATTTTTGGAGTAATTTGATTGTAAAATTGCATATTATTAGCGGGAGTAGTGAGTTGTAATTTTATAGACTGAAGTTTGCGATGAATAACACGTTGCGTTCGGACCGGACATTTTGAGAATCCTGTTAAGATTGATTTGGCACAGCAGCCCAACAAAAGAAAACAGAAGAGCATTAATCTTAAGCAGCCCAAAAGAGAAAAAACCAGCGGGGTTCATCCATTATCCATTCTTTTCACCTCTGGAGTTAACCCCAGCCGGCAATTTCCATTCTTTCTTTTCCGGAAACCATTAGCAGCAGCGTTTGTTTGTTTGTTTGTTTTTGTTCCTTCTCCTAAATAGCAGCCTCAGTAGCAATCAAGAATCCAAGGAGGAGCTCTAAACTTTTCTTTTCAATTCAATTTAGATTCCAAGTAATCCTTGTTAACTTTCAGCATATTTTACATTACTAGTCCATGATTTTGAATTGAATGTTGAATTTGTTTGTCTCTAACTAGTAAAGTAGTAATTTCAGATTTTTTCCATTAAATACTTATAATTCAGTTTTTTTTCTAGCACCATTATCATGTTTATCAATATTATTCTTGTGATGTTAGTTTTAAATATGAATAGGGTTTGAATTGGGGCTAGGGTTCATGGGTTCTTGAGGGTGTGAATTTAGTTTTTATGAAATTTAATTATTTTCTGGAAAATTGTATAAGATTAATCATAATTGCCTACATGAATTTGATCACCTCATGTATGAATTTATGGATTTAATTCAATTCTTGTCTATGAGAAATTGAGTTAAATTAGTTTGGGTCTCATACAAGCAATCTGATCTTAGAAATAAGTTAGGATTGTGAATTTATGATAATCTGATTTAATTCTTGTCTATGAGAATTGAATTCATTTTCTATCCAGAAATAATGGAAAATTAAGTTACTTAATTCAAATCCCGAAAGAACACCCAGAACCCGAACCGTCCAATTTGAACCCTGTTTTAAAATCTAGAATCAATTTAATTATTATTTTTTCTCTAATTATTTTTGCACTCGTTGTTAGTTAGTTTTTTTAATCACCCAAAAAAAAGAGATTTTTACATAAATATTACCAATAATATATGGAGTTACAAAAAAGTGACTATTAATATAGAACACATATGGCATCATAAGTGTAAGTTAGGGGGTACAGTCATATTTTTGTTAGTGGGGTTTAAAGTAGTAATATTTGCGTAATTTTTTCAAAAAAAAATTTGAAAGATTACCATGACTTGTGCTAGCCTGTGATCACGGATCGTACTTGAAACTTCCTTTTTGAAACTCCTTGAGAGACGATACTCGTGGTCTAATTATTCTTCGGATTAGCCAACTACATTTCACTCACTAAAAATCACACCGATCATCACACCACCACGTGGATCTGCACAAGGAAGCAGAGGTATAGCAACCAACGGGGCACTAGGTCAGGTCCATGTACAGTCAACAACAGAAACTTTGGAGAAGCGATGCAATCAAGCATCCAGAACACGTAGAAACTGTAAAGATGTAACATATCTTTTCATTGTTTGAATCCTTTTAAAACACTGTCTCTTGTTTATATCTATTCTCAACTTCATCCGCTTTTCTTGTCTGTACCGTTAGCAGCACTGGGATGTGCTAGAGAAGACTTCTCCAGATTATTTCCTCCTCACTTTACTTTTTAGCGTATTTTGATTGCAGCAGTCTCTAAATTACGGAGTAATAATTTAATATATTATATCCACACATTTTCCTGACATGATATGGTAGTTAAATCTTTTAATTCATGGGTCTTGAGTCTTGATATTATGTTATTAATTAATTAATAATTAGTTGATTAATGTACACATTTCGTAATCAGGTAGACCATAGATGTATATAACTAATGCATGGTATGTTTGATTTTAGGATCTTAATATCCAAGTTGCGATCCCCGGGTTACAATCTCTTAGACTCCTTCCGATCTGTGCTAGGATCTCGAGTTTAACAATGTTGCCCCAAATTAAGATTTGAATGAGACTAGCACTTCGACTTCTCCATATTCGCCTATTAGGTATTATAGTTAAAATGTATTACTTCATCAGTCCTCTATGTTTGTACAATCATTTTTTTTTGCATGTTCCACTAACTCCATCTCATACTATATTTGGTATTACACTCATACTACATTTGGTAATACTTGTATGGTTCAAATCTTCAATCCATTCATATTTCACCAATTCAATATCAGTTACACGACTCCACATTCTTTAACATGTATCACTTACTCAAGATGGGACAGAGGTAATAGTAACAATCTGCCACCACTAATTTTTCGGGTAACTTTTACCTCTCAAGGCTCTCATTCCTTTCTCAGCCCTTCAAGGTTTTTGTCTTTATTTTAAGGGAAAAGGGTCATAAAAGCCCTTCTACAATTATATATCCATCACTGAGACCCATCTACTAAAAAATCAATCATATGATTCCATTTAGTATTAAAAAAGAGTCAATTAACTCAAACTACCGGAAGATGACCTTGAATAGTAGGTTAAAAGCTGATCCTTTTCTTTTCATTTCTCATTTATTTTTCGCTTTTTTTTCTGGTCACTCCGTTCCTTGAAGTCCCCAACCAGCCAACCTCCACCTCCGTCAATTTCTCTGCTTCTTGCCTTTTCATTTATTTCATTTTATTTTAATTTCTTATCTTTTAGTCTTTGTGGTATCCCATTCCCTTTTTTAATCATTGTTTTTTGTAGATTGAAAAATCAATTAGCTTTCCAGAGACCTGATCAATGAACAGAGAGAGACGAACATCCTGGGAGTGAATCACCCTTACTCGTTTGTCACCATTCAATTACCGGAAATGGTTTTCGTCGCCGTAATTATTCCAGTGACGAAGGAAATTCTCTCTGCACCGTCAGTCTTCCTTCTCCATCTCTCCCAACCCATCCACCGCAACTACATGAAAATCTATTCCAGGCACAAAGATGCATCAATGGAATCCCCATCTCAGGCCGTCCCTCCATGGATGCGCACCACAGGATTACCATCGTTGCTTGCAACCCGGTGTTTTTTGAAGCTAGGAGAGTAGGCAGCAGATGATGGTCTTCATGGACACCTCCTTTCCCATCGATTTGAAATTGCAAGGCTGGAGGGAGATTTGTGGGGGGGGGGGGGTGATATATCATTGAGAATTTGGTCTTCCAGGAATTTGTTGAGAATGGGATGAGATGAGAAAGAATTGTGGAGTCGGAAACGGGAGGAGAAACCAGGGAAGTAATGAAGAAAGAGAAAAGAAGAACAATGAAAAGAATAGGTCAAACTTGTGTTTTAACCGGCAAAAGTGTTGCTTTCCAGTAAATTTGGTTAGATTGATCATTTTTACTAAGTAAATGTGTTTAAGTGATGCTTTTATTAGTAGATGGGTCTAGGTGATGGATCTATAATTGTAGAAGGGCTTATTTGACCCTTTTTTCCGTATTTTAAAAAGGGATTTCTATGTGCGTATGTGGAGGGCATGAAAGAAAGTTTAATGAGTACTTAATGCTTATATTGTCTAAAACCATTGTTGATAATAGTGACATGGGTATATTTTAATCATATTGTAATGATAATCATATCGATTTTTTAAAGCATTACACTATTGGCCGTACTCTTTCATAAAAAAATGATCTCTGACTTTTACTTATTCTTCTTTTGGCGCACATCTTTGAATTTCTTAACACGTTGAGCCCTGACCACTCATCTTGCAAACAATCAACCATAAATATAATAAATAAGTGGGTTATCAACCAGAACTTAAATAAATAAGGGGATGAAACAAGTGATGGGTAAGACCTTAAGTGGCAATTTACTCATATTCATGCATTCATGCATCAAAAGTGATCAAAATTTAAATTGGTTACAATAAGTGAAAATGACCAAAAGTGATCAAAAGCGGCACATTTTTTAAAATTACATCCATTTATTTTTATTGAAATCATCATTCTTTCTAGCAACTTGAACCTGAAGGACATTTTCTTCACTGTGTGTGCCTATGGGGCACACATCAGAAATCCTTTATTTTTGAAGAACTGTGGAAGTGTTGACGATTAATCTGGATGGATGCATTTATGTTGAAAACCAAATCATGCAATGAACAATGCAATCTTCAAATGCAATTTATACACAAGCACACAGCTAATTAATATTTGAGATTACATTTGAAATGCTCAAAGTAATACTGTCATAAAGGTTCCTTGGTTTAAGCTATCTGTCAGATTAAAATTTCATAGTATTTACACACGCAAAGATCTTTTTAGACTACTAGCTATGAAGCACCGAAACTCTCAGGAAAAAGTACGTTTCTGTTTCGGAAACAGTTTGGAAACTCTCCAAATAGTTGTTTTTCTACTAAAAGATGATGTTTCACTTTACCCGTTTCCCCGAGATTTTCACTATTCCATGCAACATAGACTACTAGGCATTATCTAAAATGGGCTTTAACTAAAATAGACAGGATAGATCAACATTGGTATAGATATACTTCAAACATGTTTAAGTATCACTGTATTAGTTATTTTAGTTTAGCCATCATGGCAATAGGAAATGACAACAATATCTTTTACTTAGCAAAGAATGCAAAAGCTACAAAATTATAAACTAACCCAATGTAATTAGAACTCAGTAAAGATGTTTAGGAAAATACCTCCAAAATCATGGCCCCAGATTAGGAGCCGTTGATCTTCTTCTTCTTCATCCAACTCATCACCATATCCTATCTCACCATCACCTCTATACCCTGGCTCACTTCCATACCCAGACTCATTACCTTGGCTTTCAAAATTGCCAATTTGAAATGCAACACTCAAATTCTCCCTATCTGCAACTCCACTCTCCCTCTCCCTCCTAGAAGTTTTAGCGGCTTCACTCACATCAGACGCCCAACATACATCCCCATTCACGAACAACTCCCCGCTCGTATCCGTCCCAGGGGCCATCGGAAAATCAGAACAGGTTCCGCAAGCCGCCGATGCTCCAACAGAACAGCACCTCAGTCGTGTCCCACTGCGCTCGCTGCTTCTACCAGAAACCGACTTCGATCCTCGACGGCGGCGTTTTACAGCCATCCACCGACTGCTATCCCGCTTGTGGACGGAAAAGGGTCGGTCGTCCTCAAATAAACTGAGCTTCGACATGTCGAGGGCGTCAACTGGAAAAGCCGTCGCTCGATCAGCGCGGCAGGGCCGTTTGCTGAAGAAGCGATTACCTTGAGGAGCATAGGGCGTGGGTGAACGAGGTGAATCCGTGACTAGGGTTTTGGATTGAATCTGAAAGGGTCTCCAACTGTGAAGGTGAAATATACAGCTCTCGATAGCACGCCTTGGGTCGAGGGTTTTGGACGACATGGACTGATCCTTCATGACAATAGATCTCTTCTTCAATGGCGTTGATGACAACCAACAAAATGTGGAGGACTGATTTTCACAGTAAAGTACCGTACTACTCCGTATTAATACGAAGTCAGTTTTTATACTCCGTATGATGTACTACGTATGTGGTAAAGAAAAACTTAAAAAATGATAAAATGGCCCGGAGTAGAATTTTGCTTAGTAATTGTTTGTGCATAGAAAATTTCATTTGAGTTTCAGTGTAGACAATTAAAACATTAATATCGAAAATTAAAAAAAATAATAATGTTTGGTATAAAACAAGAAATAATTACATATATATGACCAAATAAAGATGATTAAAATGTCTCACAAGAGACTCGTGGATCTTTATTTTTCTTCCTTATGAACTGTATTTTACTGATTATTACTGCGGAGTATATAGTACTAACCAAGCATTCCCGCTCAGCTGGTTTTTGAAACTCAATGGAGTTTCAATCCTGATTACTCCAGGCTCCAACCAGCCCCCCCCCCCCCCCCCGAGTTAAAAAAAACTAATAGATTTTTAAAAATTAGGGTGCCATCAGAGGTCTTGTTCTATACAGAGTATAATTTAGGATGTTTTTACTTGGACTGTAATTTGTTGGTCTGGTCTGTTTTTTTTGTATTTTTATAACTATTCAAGTTTGGTCTGGTCTGGTCTAGGACAGATTACAGTCTAAGTAAAGACATCGTTATTGAACTCTCCTAAAAAACACTTCTGTAACCAATTCAACCGTTCTAATGAGAATTAGAACAAAATGCAAACCAAACAATTTTAATACTACGAATGCTCTTCATCTTTTAATCATCATTAGCTTATACGTGTTGAATAGGGGTGGCAAAAAATACTGAAATTTCGGTATATCGGATTTATCATATCGAAAAATACCGAATTTACCGAAATGTTTGGTATACCGACACTTTTGGTACGGTATGATACCGTACCGAATTATTTCGGTATGGTATCGGTATATAATTTGGAAATAAGCGGTATACCGGTATACCGTCATACCATAATTCCAAGCCAATAATTTCCTTAAAATTATAAAAATAACTAAAAACACAACACTAATTCAAGGATAAATGACTTTATATCCATGTTTCTTGAATTATTTGTACTTTTTGTTGGAGATCGGTGTTATGTTAATTATATTTATGTTGTTTAAATTATTTTAGCAAAATGTGTTGTTATCTTCATATATCGTATGTTCAAATATTTATACATATTTATAATATTTTTTGTTCAAAGTTGAATAGAACACAAATAGGCTCTGAAGCACGGATACTTCCCTAGGGTAGCGTATCAGCGTATCCGATACGTTCCCGTGTCCGATACTCTAGGATACCTGTTGTTGAGCTTAATCCAACACGATATAGAAAATATATGTATGAACACTCAGTTTTTACGTGGAAACCCGAAAGGGAGAAAACCACGGGACTTTTTAGGCTAATGTCCAAGCCCTCTCTTTCTCATTAGGACTCTCCTCACCATTACATAGTACAATTTGAGCTCCCATCAATGGAGTATTGTTAATAAGCTAGCTAGAGAGAAGGAAGAAGAACAAGCTCAGGAAAAAAGGCCCCTTTACATGGAGGCTAAGCTCCCTATTTATAGACAAAGGGGAAAGGGTGCTCTCCACCCTAATGGGCCAAACGGGCCAACATTGGGCCTAATGGGCCGAAATGGGCCTAGCTGCTCGGGCTCCGTACTGGATAATGTCTTGGGCTCCTGAACAGTAATAGGCCGGGATAATATATCCCAACACAAGTCCCCCAGTTTCTTGAGTAGTGAGCGTGCGAATCTGCTCGAGAAAATATACTCTGCCTGTGCTCCTCCTCTGTCTTGCTGGAAACTGTGTCTTCACATAATCATCATCTATGAGTGAGTGTCTGCACTCATGAACGTAATCTTCCAGTGAGGCACCCCCCTCCCCGACAGGGTCGGGCGAAGGGTGCTCCTCCACGGGCACACTCCGCCTGAATGCATCAGGCGGGAGTAAAGCACTCTGACTCGAGCTTTCCAATCGGAGAAGCTTAGAGGTCCATGCATCTATAAACCGACGTCGCGGTACTGTCAAAACATGATGCACGTGTGTGCGTATGAATGTATGAGGTATGATGCATGAATGCATGTAATGTATGGGTGCAATGTATGAGAGAGGGAATGCAAGATGTGATAGAAGTGGTGGCTCTCATCGATGACCCGGGCATGTCAGCGCCGAGAGGCAGACGTGCTGCGTAAGACGGGTCCCCCATCCAGGATGGCATGAGCGGAGCCGAAGGTGGACTAGACATGATGCCGCCGAGGGGCCAATCATGCTACATAAGAGATGTTCGCTGCCATCCTGGAAGGGATGGGCGAGCTGAACATGAGCCAGGTACGATGGCGTTGAGGGGCCGATCGTACTGCATAAGACGTTCGTCGCCATCCTGGAAGAGATGCGCGATCCGAACCGTGAAGCCAGGTACGATGGCTCTGAGGGGCCGATCGCACAGCATAAGACGTTCGTCGCCATCCTGGAAGAGATGCGCGATCCGAACGTGAAAGAGACGCGATGGCGCTGAGGGGCCGATCGTGCTGCATAAAAGATGTTCGTCGCCATCCTGGAAGAGATGCGCGATCCGAACCGTGAAGCCAGGTACGATGGCTCTGAGGGGCCGATCGCACAGCATAAGACGTTCGTCGCCATCCTGGAAGAGATGCGCGATCCGAACGTGAAAGAGACGCGATGGCGCTGAGGGGCCGATCGTGCTGCATAAAAGATGTTCGTCGCCATCCTAGAAGGGATGGGTGAGCCGAACATGAGCCAGGTACGATGGCGCTGAGGGGCCGATCGTACTGCATAAGACGTTCGTCGCCATCCTGGAAGAGATGCGCGATCCGAACGTGAAAGAGACACGATGGCGCTGAGAGGCCGGTCGTGCTGCATAAGACGGTCGTCGCCATCCTGGAGGGAATGCGCAAGCCGAACCGTGAAGCTAGGTACGATGGCGCTGAGGGGCCGATCGCACTGCATAAGACGTTCGTCGCCACCCTGGAAGGGATGGACGAGCTGAACGTGAGTTGGGTACGATGGCGCTGAGGGGCCGATCGTACTGCATAAGACGGTCGTCGCCATCCTGGAGGGAATGGGCGAGCCGAACCGCGAATCTGGACTCGATGGCGCTGAGGGGCCGATCGTGATGCATAAGACGGTCGTCGCCATCCTGGAGGGACTGGACGAGCTGAACGTGAATCTGGACACGATGGCGCTGAGGGGCCGATCGTGATGCATAAGACGTTCGTCGCCACCCTGGAAGGGATGGACGAGCCGAACGTGAGCTGGGTACGATGGCGCTGAGGGGCCGATCGTACTGCATAAAACGGTCGTCGCCATCCTGGAAGGAGTGGGCGAGCCGAACCGCGAATCTGGACACGATGGCGCTGAGGGGCCGATCGTGATGCATAAGACGTTCGTCGCCACCCTGGAAGGGATGGACGAGCTGAACGTGAATCTGGACACGATGGCGCTGAGGGGCCGATCGTGATGCATAAGACGTTCGTCGCCACCCTGGAAGGGATGGACGAGCCGAACGTGAGCTGGGTATAATGGCGCTGAGGGGCCGATCGTACTGCATAAGACGGTCGTCGCCATCCTGGAAGGAGTGGGCGAGCCGAACCGCGAATCTGGACACGATGGCGCTGAGGGGCCGATCGTGATGCATAAGACGTTCGTCGCCACCCTGGAAGGGATGGACGAGCTGAACGTGAATCTGGACACGATGGCGCTGAGGGGCCGATCGTGATACATAAAAATGGTGATGATCATCTCATGGCCCTCGGCCTGTCGGTGAGTGGTAATCGTCTTACGGCCCTCGGCCGTGCTGGTGATGTGTCAAGTCTCTCTCCTGATTGGCTGTGGGAAGCCAATCGTCTGTCAGGACTCCTTTCGGGAAGGAATGGTGAGCCTGAAATAAATCTGGGTGATGTCCCTCCCATCTGATCTGAGGAGCTAGTCTTCGTTCGTCTACCGTATCCGTGGTCCTATGTACGGACATCTAAGCGGTGTACACTCGGCACGCACAGACTCCGGTAAAGAACTGGTCCATCGTGTCTGATCCATGGAGCTGGTCTTCGTTCGTCTACCGTATCCGTGGTCCTATGTATGGACCGCTAAGCGGTGTACACTCGGCACGCACAGACTCCGGTAAAGAACTGGGTTCTTCGTTCTTCCCAAGTCTCGTGAGTACTGGTCTCCTGGTTTCGCAGGAGACGTTCGTCATCCCAACTATGAGAAGAAACAGGTTTATCCACGTCGGGATTCCCTATTCTTCGTTCGTCCCTGTCGTGGTCCTACTAATCTTCTTACTTCGAAGAAGACGTTTGGTCATCCAACGATCGCAAGGAGGAACAGGTTTATCCACGTCGGGATTCCCTATTCTTCGTTCGTCCCTGTCGTGGTCCTACTAATCTTCTTACTTCGAAGAAGACGTTCGGTCATCCAACGATCGCAAGGAGGTCACTGGTTTATCCACGTCGGGATTCCCTGCTTCGTCGTCCCATGCTCGTGGCCCTACTAGCCTTCTGCTTTGGCAGAAGGTGTTCATCGATCCACGGGAAATGGGAGGAACTGGTTTATCCTGCCGCGGTTCCCTTTGGTACGTCTAGCCTCCCCCACGTTCCTACTAACCTCCGCGTCGGGAGACGTTCGTCATATGCGGCGAAGGAAGATCAGGCATACCTCGTCAAGACTCCCTCTCTCATAGGAGCTTCTCTCTCCCCTTCTCCCCATCTTTTCTCTCTCTCTTTTTTTTTTCTTTTTTTTTTTTTTGAGGGAGGAAAATACGTTCGTCGGTTCTAAGAATGACCACAAGTGATGTCACACATAATGGTGGTGGGATATCAAAATGAACAGAATGACGAGGCGATGGAAATGCTGGTCGTCATGCGAAGGCGATGGTCACCCTCCCGAAGGGAGGGGTGAGCCCGATCGCTAACCCAAGAAGGTCGGCGTTGGGAGCCGATAATGATCATAATGTCGCTGAGCAGTCGGTCCTGATAAGGAGATGAAAATAGTGTCCGATCAGGCCGATATATCCAAGCAACGGCTCTCATCCACGCAGCGCGGGGATGAAACCGGTCTTCAAAAGATAAATATGTCGTGCCGAGAGGCCGATCATAACATGATAGTGTCGGCAGTCAGAGGCCGACCTGAAAGAATCAAGCAATGGTCCTCGTCCGCGAGGGGCGGGGACAAGGCCGGTCTTCAAAAGATAAGCACGCCGAGCCGAGGGGCCGGTCGTGGTATAATGGTGTCGGCAATGAGCGGCCGATCTGAAAGAATCAAACAACGGTCCTCGTCCGCGGGGTGGCGGGGACGAGGCCGGTCTTCAAAGATGATAATCACTCCAGGCCGGGGGGCCGAACATGATATGACAGTGTCGGCAATGAGCGGCCGATCTGAGAAAATCAAGCAACGGTCCTCGTCCGCGAGGGCGGGGACGAGGCCGGTCTTCAAAGATGATAATCACGTCAGGCCGGGGGGCCGAACATGATATGACAGTGTCGGCAATGAGAGGCCGATCCCAAAAATCAAGCAACGGTCCTCGTCCGCGAGGGCGGGGACGAGGCCGGTCTTCAAAAGATAGGCACGCCGAGCCGAGAGGCCGGTCGTGGTATAATGATGTCGGCAATGAGAGGCCGATCAAGTGTATCCGTGCAACGGCTCTCATCCGCGCAGCGCGGGGATGATACCGGTCTTCAGGTGATAAATACGCCGTACCGTGAGGTCGGTCGTGATGTAAGGATGGTCCCACGACCCTCGGCCGTAGTGGTCTCCTCTAGGCCACCGGCTCCTGGTGTGGAGATGCTCGTATCACGGCTCTCAGCCGTGATGGTTTCCTCTTGGCCCTCGGCCTCTGGATGATGGATGATCGTCTCACGATTCTCTGTCATGGCATTCGCCTCTAGATCCTCGGCCTCTAGGTGTTCTTCCTAGGCCATCGGTCTCTGGGGTGGAGATGCTCGTCCCACGGTTCTCAACCGTGGTGGTCTCCTCTAGGCCCTCGGCCTCTAGGTGGAGATGCTCGTCTCACGGTCCTCAGCCGTGATGCTCTCCTCTTTAGCCGGCCCTGCACGTCTTCAAGTCTCGGGCCGAGCGTCTTCTAATCATTTCACTCGAGCGCGTCGAGCGGCTTCAGCTGCGCAATAAGCATGGTAACGGGCCGCACGGCCCGACAATATGTATACACACGCAATCATCTGCATGGCTTTCTCTCTAATATCCACGATTACCGGCCTATGGGTTATCGTGACCCTCGGCCCGGCTCATCGTGCGGGGTTAATGGACGTAGCAGCTCGCGGCGGGGCCAATTAGCAGCCCGCCGAACGTCACATAGAGATATTCATCGGTCTGTGAGTTTTCAAACTCAGACCCAAGTTGGTCGCACCGCCCTCGGAAACACGAGGCCGAGCGCTTTGGTGCCCTCGGGGCCCCACAGGCCGCGTCTGGCAATAGTCACTTCGCGCCTAATGGCGTAGATGATACTGGGGTACGATCGTCGATCGGGCACGTAGTGCCGTGCGGACTAACGTGCAACCCTCAAATTAAAATGCGTCGTCGGGGCGTCGCCCTTTTGGAGACGCTCAGACCGCTGAATCAAGCTGATCGAGAGTGGGCCATCAGGCCCACAAGAAATTAAATATTCAATAAGATGTTGGCTGAACCAACCATCACCAGAGCTTCGCTCCACATTATTTAATTCGGGACATTTTTATCCCTAATAAATAATAGTGGCGTAACAGGTAATAGCAATGATATTATCCTACCAAAGGCCATTCAAGTATACTCCGTTCGCTAATTAAAGCCGATCAGGAGCGGGCCGACGGGCCCACAACAATTAGTCATTAAATTTAAATGACGGTGAAAACTAATTATCACTTAGAGCATCGCTCTCATTATTTAATTTCGGGAGTTTTAATCCCTAATAAATAATAGTGATAAAAATTAGTAGCAATATTTCTACTTCTTTAATAATTACGACGCATGCTTTAATGAAAAAGGTGAAGAAGTTAGAAACTTAGCTTTGGATATAAAGCTTCGGCCAGGAGGGATTCTAGAGCCAGATTTGGTTCCCATTTTGCAATTTTGACTTGGTCAAAATTCTGAACATCCCTGCTTGTCAGCTGTCCTCAATTACTCAGCCACTCCCGCGGAAATACAGGTCCAAGCCGTAGAGGGCCTTTCATTATTGTTCTCGATCTTGCGGACGTGGTCCGCCTGGGACCATATCAATTTACATGGCGTACATCTTTTTAGAAACAACATGTGGAGAACCTTTCTACCAGCCCAGACGTAATTCGTTCGTGCCGGCCAACTTCCTGCCGGTGGAGATGGTGGCCGCAGCGGAGTAAGGACGGTATAAGCGGCCAGTCCCTGGTACCTCCCCTAAGCTCCACACCACCATTAATGGCGGGAATCGAAGAACTCCCAGCCGGCAGGTACCCCAGGCCGCGTCAGCCGAGTGGTGGAGGCTCTCACGGCCTCGGACCAGGTGGAGGAACGGCCTGCGGTTGGTCCCTGATGGCGAGTAGCGGTGCGACGAATCATGCGGTGGAGGTAGCTGCGGCGAGCGATGAGCAACTGCGTTGCAGGTGTTGTGAGATCTGGGGCGCTGCAGCGAGCTTCGTCTGCTGCAGGTGAACTCAAGTGTGGTTCCACGGCGGTCGGGGATGGTGACGGTGGCTCCGGCGACCTCACATCAGGTCTGGAAAAAGTCCAGATCTAAGCTTTCCAGATTTCGTATCTTTTCTGTAGAATTTTTTTTGTTGCTGTTGAAATCAGCCATTCTTCGTATCCATTTTTTTTGTTGAAAATCAGTCCATTTCGTATGAATCTTTGCAGAACACGTTCAACTTTTTGGACAGATTCCCACAGACGGCGTCAGTGTTGAGCTTAATCCAACACGATATAGAAAATATATGTATGAACACTCAGTTTTTACGTGGAAACCCGAAAGGGAGAAAACCACGGGACTTTTTAGGCTAATGTCCAAGCCCTCTCTTTCTCATTAGGACTCTCCTCACCATTACATAGTACAATTTGAGCTCCCATCAATGGAGTATTGTTAACAAGCTAGCTAGAGAGAAGGAAGAAGAACAAGCTAAGGAAAAAAGGCCCCTTTACATGGAGGCTAAGCTCCCTATTTATAGACAAAGGGGAAAGGGTGCTCTCCACCCTAATGGGCCAAACGGGCCAACATTGGGCCTAATGGGCCGAAATGGGCCTAGCTGCTCGGGCTCCGTACTGGATAATGTCTTGGGCTCCTGAACAGTAATAGGCCGGGATAATATATCCCAACACCTGTATCATACGTTCCCGAGCCATATCTGCAATTTTAAAAGTTTGCATTTTTTTTTGTAATTTTTTGAAATTTTCCGATACTCGCATCCTGACGGATACCCAAAATTTTTAAATTTTTTTTTAAAAATCCCAAAATTTACTTAATAAAATTCTAAAAAATTAAAAATCTAAAACTACATTTTACTTGGTAATCAAATAATGGGCCTATATGGCTATATCCGAATTAAGTCATTAACTCATACTCCGAATTGGGTACTTGCACTTTATAATTTCAAGATTGTAGTTGTTTGACTTATTTCTCATTTTAAATTAATAACTTATTGACTACATTATATTTATATTTCGAGATGCATTAGTGTATATGAGAAATATTATGAATTTATTACTAAGTATCTTGAAAAAGGAAAATGCTTCAATGCAATGAATGGGTAGACATCATAAGATATTATATGTATATATACTTGTATATATTTTCAACAAAAAAAAATCTATTTTTAATATTTATAAATAGACCCCTCTAACTTTTAATATTTGTAAATACATCCCCATAACTTTTAATATTTATAAATATGGCCCCGTATCTGTATCCTACTTTTTTTGGTTTTGACGTATCTCCGTACCCGTTTCCGCGTTTCTGCGTTTCCGCATACCGGTATCGGTGCTACATAGCAAATAGGTTATCTCATTGGTATTTTATAATTAATTTCATTAATGATTTTACATATCACTGTTAACATTGATTTTCTTTATTTCATTTGACATATAATAATTTGTTATATTAAATCATGATAATTTACCGATATCGTACCTTATCGTACCGAAATTTTGGTATACCGAAACAAGGTATACCGAAATTTCGGTATGGTAACGGTATGTATTTTTGCATACCGAAAGTTTACGGTATGGTAAAGGTATGCGATAAAATATTCGGTATACCGTACCGTACCACCCCTAGTGTTGAACATGTTATTCATAAGATAGCTCCAATAATTTTGTATCCATTAAAATCAATATTTTATACGCTCATCATTCTATTCAATTCATTATTGTGTATTAGTGTACCATTATTGTGATGGAATAATAGTAGCCACTCGAGGTAGGGACTAGGGGTGGGCAAACGAGTATCAAACCGCGATCCGGTCAAGGTAATGGCGGTTCGAATCCAAAACGGACCGGTTCCATTTTGTATACTACAAAACGGTCCGGATAGGGGCGGGTATTAATTTTTTACGGTCCGGGCCGGTTCCAAATTATAAAAGTACCGGGTACCCGGCTCGGCCCGTAATATATGTAATTTCTATTTTTTTAAGCGTTTGGGAAGTGACAATTTAGCCCATTACAATAATGCAACTTAGCCCTTTCCTGAGTTGCCCATTATATATGTAATTTCTATTTTTAAGTGTTTGGTATTTTCTTCATGGAATGCATCATTTGTATTTTCTCAGTTATACGCAATCACAAACTAGCATTAACTTACTGCTATTCTTGTTACACGTAGGTTCTATTTTACTAACCGTAAAATATGACTTTGTTATTGGTAAGGAAATACTTCGTATATTAATTAGGTGAGAGTAAATCAACACAACCATTTGACCACTTTAAACTTTTAAATACTTAAGAATATAGATACTAAGAATTATAGATTACAGAATGGGTGGCATTTAGCACATTCAGAATGGCTAAGACCTTAATAACTTTGTAAGTTGTTACTACTTTTAAGATATACAATCTAAAACCGAAAAACCCGGACCGGACCGACCCGTTTCAAACGGGCCGAGTAAGGTCCGGTTCCTATTTTCAAAATTACAATACCCGGACCGGACCAACCCGTACAATGGAACCGGCGGTTCCATTTTATTTTGCATTACCCGCCCCGACCCGGTCCGTGCCCAGCCCTAGTAGGGACTAGGGAACTTGAAGCCCCACAGCCGCCGTTGTGCGATTATTGTGAGCTTTGGTAGAAAAAAATCGGATAGTCTGATGATATTTTTTTTGTAAGCTTCGGTATAGTCCGGTTCTAAGGATTGGATTATTCGTTAAAAATATTTAAACAAATCTTACGATTGATAGATATTTTCGAATATCAACCGGCAATTCACATGAAATGTAGATTAAAATACAAGAAATGACATGCTATAAATACTAGAAAAGATTCAAAAGACTCACATTTTTTATTTATATTTAAATTCACAAATACTCAAATAATGCAACACAATTAAGTAAAAATATACTCCGTAATTTGTAGCAAAATGATAATACATTAGATAAATATCACCTTTACTAAATTCATGTGAAAATATAAAAATAATATCATTAATTGTTGAATATAATGAAAATTTTAACGTTCTTCTTCTTTATTCTGGATTGAATATTAGTTTTAATTTAATTCATAATTGAACCGTTCTTTTTTTTACCCCGTAAAAGTAAAGATTCAAAGCATATTAATTAAGGTGTAAAAATACACAAATATGATGCAACAAAAAGTCACATAGACTACATTACTAGATATCAATAGTCATTAATGATTTATAAAACTTTAGCATTTTTTCATTTTATACCAAATACAACATAAATTATTTAAAAGAAAATTAACAATATTTATATAAACGCACACATTTAGGTATTTTAGATATGCATTAATACATACTTGGAATATAAAATTACTAATTTATATAAGATATTTATTGATATGGAAAAATATAAAAATCTCAAATGCTTTATTTTTGAATAGTTCGGTCCGATATGTTTGAGTTCTTAAAATCTTGGACGATTTGTTAAAAAAAAAAATCCGAACCCATTTGAAATGGTGTGAAGGTATTCTAATCTTCTACATCGTCGTAACATCAACATATAATTTTTAATATGCTCAGAGACCCGTATGTTTAGCGCCGCCGGCTCTGAGTCCGCCACTTCCATCCCTCCTCGCTTCCACTAATCGGTATGTTTTAGAGACTTTCTTAATGCGGACTGTACCTAGCTCTGTCTAGGGTTGTTTTTTTCCCAGCGAATCGACTCAATCACTCAAGGTTGATTAGTGTTCGGGTGTTTTGGGACAGTTTTTTCTAGTTTCGTTTTTGTGAATTTCATCACCTTCATGAGTTGTGTGAGTTGGAATTGTAGAGGTTTATGTTGAAAAATGTGTGAAAAATTGCATTAAATGGCTATTTTGGGGCAATTTTTTGAGTGGGGTCCACTTCCAATTTGGGTCAGGTCAAAGTGGTTTCGGATTGTCCTTGTTAAGGGCTACAATTCGATATATGGTACGCTCAAATCGCTTTTCGAAGTTTACCCGTTAGAAGGGAAAAAGGATGGGTTTCTAGTGTGTTAATTTCCCACACCGGAAAACCCAAGGGATTTGCTACCCTTTATAAATGGACTCCCCCCTTATGGAGTTAAGATTCTTAAGGGTAAAGGCTCTCTCCACGCGCGCAGGGGGGGTGCAAATCAATTCCCGAATTCGGAGAAGAAAAGTCGCGACTTGCGGGCGACCTGCGGACACGAATGTCGTCCAAAAATCTATCTCTCAAGAGATACGATTATTTTTTGTTTTCTTCCCGAAACGTTTAATTTTTTCCCAGCGGCAGAAGTGCTCGGACAGAAGCTTACGGATCAGAACACCTCGTTGGTGTTCTGATGGCAGAACCCCTCATGGGGTATTCTGATGGCCGCCCATCAGAGATGGGGTATTCTGATGGCCGCCCATCAGAGTTGGGGGTATTCTGATGGCCGCGGATCAGAGTTGGGGTCTTCTGATTGGTCTCCGATCAGAACCCCTCCCGGGGTGTTCTGATGGAGGTCTTCTGTCGCGCTTCTGACACGTTACAACAATTAATGCAGCGTTAAATGGACAGTTCATGGATGATTCAATGCCAAACGGACTGGTCATTGATGTCCAACGTTCAGGTCCATTAATTCACTATTTTCACACAACAAATCCTCCTATATAAAGGCTGGCAGGTGGTTTGCAACAACACACGTTCTTACACGAATTCATACACGTTTTGCACCTCTAAAAACACACTGCTGGCAATCTGCAAATTCCTTCTGTGTTCAGCCTTTGTTCTCGTTCGCTGGAACTTTTGTTTGAGTGCTCAAACACTAGTTCGTTGTCATCGTATCCTGGGAAACTATTGTTGCAACGCTCCTAGCACCGTGGGAGGCAACAAATACGTTTTAAGGACATCGTGCGTAGCACGAGCTTTGACAAATTCTGCTCCATCTCTTTTCTTGTTTTCTTTCGTCATTTTATTTAATTAATTTATTTTAATTAATTTTTCTTTATTTTCCGAAACACACCCAACAGTTTAGGGAACCTTGCTATTGTCCAGGTATTGATCGACCTTATTAGAGATAAACGACATTCACTTGTTTTCCTAATTGAAACAAAGGCATGGGGCCCAAATATCGGAGATGGTATGCCGAGAGTTGGGTTTCCAGCATATGTATATTTTTGAAAGCCGGGGTCAGAGTGGCGGCTTGGCACTGTTATGGGCTGAGGAGGTGGACTTGAAAATTGAATCTCCCTCTTCATTCTTCATTGATTGTACTTTGCAGTTGGAACAGGGAGCCCCGTTGTGGAGATTTATGGGCTTCTATGGGATACCAGATCGTGGAAGATGAAGAGAATCCTGGGGCTTACTCAACTCACTGGGAGCTAGAGGGGACTTGCCATGGATGCTCATGGAGACTTCAATGACATTATGTTTTCAAGTGAAAAAAGAGGGAGAATTCCGCAACCTCAATGGCTATTACGTGGCTTTTGTGAAACTGTTTGGATGAACGGTTTGCAAAGTTTTCAGTTTGAAGGTTACCAGTGGACGTGGGAGAGAGGCAGAGGTATAGAGTGGTGGGTTGAAGAGAAGCTGGACATGATCTTGGTTAATGAAGATTGGCTAAATGTTTTTGGGGCCGCAAAGGCCTATTCATTGGAAGGAGGCGAGTGATCATCTTATTTTGTTTATCAAGTTATGCACAGAGACAGTGTTCAAAGGAACCCGACCTTTTAAATTTGAGAATGTATGGCTTAGAGAAGATGACTGTAAAGAGGCAGATGTTCACAGTTCGGCGGCAGCGGGAAATTGCT